CAGCAGCAGCACCTCTTCAATGCAGGGTCTACAGAAGTTGTGGCCGCAGGGCGTCGTGACTGGCAGCAGCAAAATCTTAATGCAAATGGGGCATTCAAATTCAGGGGGGACAGCCTCCCCCTCTTTATCCTCATCTGCTGCTGCTGCTGCTGCTGCTGCTGCTGCAGGCGGTCCACCTGCTGCAGCTGCCTTTGCAGCAGCTGCTGCTCCCGCTGCAGCTGCTGCGGAAGGGCTGCTGCCCACCAGCACAGCGCCCCCTTGTGCGTCCGACATTTTGCTGCTGCTGCGGCTGCTGCTGCTGCTGCTACTGTTGTTGCTGCTGCTGCTGCTGTTGCTGCTGCTGCACTTCCTATAGTTGCTGCTCCCAAGTCGTGCCTGCCTGACTGCTACTGCTGCCGCTGCTGCTGCTGCTGTTGCTGCGGCTGTTGCTGCTGTTGCTGCTCCTGCTGCTGCTGCTGCTGTTGCTACGCAGTTTGTAAGTTGCCTTGCGTGTCTTGGGGGCCGGCGACCACGGCGAGCGCTGCTGCTGCTGCAGCTACTGCTGCAGCAGCTGCTGCTGCTGCTGCCCAACGGGAGGGTTCCTGCTGCTGTTCCTGCTGCAGCTACCCTTATTAACGCTGCTGCTACTCTTGCTGCTGCTGCTGTTTGGCTTGATCGCTAAACTGAGCGGCCGCACAGCAGGAGCCCGCGTAGCGCCTGCAGCAGCAGCAGCAGCAGCAGCAGCAGCTTTCAAGGCAGCAGCAACTTGCAGCCCTGCAGCACGAGCGGCAAGAACTGCTGCTGGTTACTGCTTCCTAAGGGAGAAGGCAGCCGAAGTGACGCCGGTAACCCTAAACCCTCAAGTGTAAACCCTCACCCGAAACCCTAAACCCTAAACCCTAAACCCTAAACCCTAGCGCTTACTTGGCGCCTCTGAATTTGCCCTATCTTTCGGCCCCGAAAATAAATTTATAATTTCAAATATGGCGAGCGCCTAAAGAGCAGCACTGCTGCGGCACTAGCATCAGCAGCAGCACAGCAGCAGCAGCAGCTGTGCTGCTGGCGCTGCTGCTGCTGCTGCTGCGGTCGCGCCGACGAAAGGGAGGGCAGCAGCACCGCGCTATTTTAGGGTTTTATTGCATTTTATTTCGAAATTAATAATTGAAAATTAAAATAGAACAAAATTAAATTCACTTTTTGCTTCGAGAGGGAAAATTGAAGTGTTCGTCGGGCGGCGCTGAAAGGCCCGCCGGATCATCGAGGTGTACGTACACCCCAGCAGCCCTGCTGTTTGTGCTTTGAAACGAAGGCTCATTAGCTTCGTTTGCTGCAGAGCGCATGCAGTTGGTGGCTGCCTGAGCAGCAGCAGCAGCAGCAGCAGCAGCAGCAGCGCAGCGCCACCGTCGCGGCGAAGGAACGGGCGCCGCTCCGCCGCCGCTGCTGCTGCTGCTGCTGCTGCTTGTCTTTTGCTGCACATATTAACACTGGACTGACCAGAAGGCGGAGAAGGAGAAGGCAGCTTCAGCACAGAAGAGCCTGGCTGCCCAAACTAGCTGACCACTGGTCAACCAGCAGCAGCAGCAGCAGCAGCAGCAGCTGGAGTGGCGGCAGCAGCAGCAAACGAAGTGTTAGCTGCGGCTATCAGCGGCCATTTCCTCCAGCAGAAAAGCTGAGGGCTGCTCGCTGCCGCTGCTGCCA